ATAATACACAGAGTATAAAACTCTGACGGGCAGATTGCTCGTGGCCAGCAATCCACGAGCCCCTTCTTCCTGACCCCCGAGGGGAAAAATCCCAAAGTTGAGTCATAGTTAGAGGCAAGTACTCTATGCTCTGAGAGAAACACTCTGAAAGAGTACTTTGAGAAAAAAAAACTTCTATCATCTACAATAAATAGCTAACCGTGCAATGTAGCCGTCGAAATGCCGTTCCATCTTCTCCGCCCTTCCGTTCAACGTACGTAGTGCTCTTCCAACATAAACGTCAAGCCCTTCAATGTTCGACGCTGCAGAGTCGACTCGCTCTTTCAACTTCGATAACACCTGAAATCGGAGAACTCGTGAACCAGGGATAAAGTTGCCGGCCCAAACGCTGCCCTCAAACCTACCCTGATCAAATCGGGCACCTTACTATTGGGGCTGGTATTGAAAATACTGGCCACCAACAGCGGTTGTGGATACGCTGCCAACGAGCACAACACATTCGCCAACTGCAGGTTGAAGGCTAGTGAATGATCCGTCATTTCTTCAAGTTGCGTCATTAGGCACTCAAGGAGAAGAGATCGATCTGAAAGGATTTCCGTTATTTGAAGCTCAAGTGTGACCGCAACTGAAGACTGACCTGTTCCACCTTCAATCGGCTGTCCATGTACTGGTAATACTGCTTCCCTTTCTTTCTTGTCAGCTTCTTTCTGAGGAGCTTCCGTCTTTTCACTTTCCAACTCCCTCATAAACTGTAGCTTTGAGTCAATGAAAGCCATCACTTCAGTTGATGAAATCTTATGTTTACTGGTCACAGATCTTCGATCCAACAGTGAAATGAAGGTGTCCAAATCCTGCAACATGGATTACTTTTTACAAACCAACACAGAAGAAGAAATCGTTATCATTCCTATATTTGGGCAGTCTTTATTAAGCTTATTTGTTTTTCGTTTCCGTTTTCTAATTTCTCAATTGTGATGCGGATTATATGTAACCATAGCTGCCTGTTGAATATAATAGCCATTTCTTGTTTGTTAAAAATGAACACGCGACAATTACACTAAACGTGGNAAAAAAAACAGAAATTCAGATCATTAAATTTCAACGATCGCCCGAAAATCGCAATTACGGAGCTACTGAAATGACTAAAAGTTTACCTCTACATCAGCCCAACCGCTAAGCACAAATGATCTCGCCATTTCCGCATCCGTATCAAATCCTTGTCCATTAGTAGTAGCTGATTCAGGCTCGGAAATAGATTCCTGTTTTTGGCATGGGATTTTCTTTCCAATGACTTCAAGGTCTTGATCCTGAATCATTTCCTAATTAGGAGTATTAACAGTTTACAGACTGCCCAATTATTTTCACAAAACAGCTTAACGAATAGGACCCATTCGACCAATCTATACACAATTTCAGGGTTAATAGTTTTGCACAAGCACTGCTCCAATACTTCTCCCCTCCCGAGAAAAATCCAAAAAAAAAAGATGTAAGTTGTAATCAGCATTCGCGAAATTTGATCGGTGGCTTAGGGAAAGCGGTGCTTGTTGCAGCTGTGCCACCTTCCAGTTATAATCAAACTGTAAATAATGAGCAACCCAATCAAGAAACGTACTTTCCGTTCAGAGCTACTGGGTGATTCTTCACTTTCCGACAGATCATCACATAATTGGAAGTAATCCACCATGGATGAAGACATTATCGATGAAGTACTAGAAAATAAAATCAAATAAAAGGATAAGAAATAAGAAGAATGAACACGCCAAGACAGATGAGTTCACGAACTTGATCGGGGGAAGAATGAACTCGGAATCCTCTTCTACGGGACTAATACTGCCATCGAGGGAGTGTGACGCAGATCCACCCAGTTCAGCGAGGAAACCTGCACAGATATGATATCGCATTGTAAGATTAACAGTAAAAGATTAAAACAATTGCAGTTCGAGAAAACTGGTTCACTTACCGCCTCCCAAAGTGGATTCGGATGTTAGATGGGCGTTTTTTGAGGCGAAATACCTGTTTAGACCGAAAGATGCAGACGACATGGATGATCTACACGACGACAAACGAGTGAATGGCTGGAAAGCAAGTAGAGTAGTAAGCAGGCGAGCAGGCAACAAGCGTAGCCATAATATGAAAGTGAAGGGTACTGATCCGACTAGACGGAAAGGCTTGGGCAGGGATGCCTTACGGAGCACCCCCGGCAACATTATGAGTGAATAATAAAGTAATTCCATATAATTCGGTAACTGGTAATTTAATTTCATAAATAGTAACTATCTGATAAAACAATCATAAGCTACCGTATGTGTGTTTGGTTCTTCATCGCTGTCGCCGCGGAACAATACTGGGCTCGGAGTCACTCCATCATATCGCCATTTCCATGCGCTACAAGAGCGTACTCGCCGCTCAACTAGTTGCGCTCCCTCGTGCATGTACAAGGCCAACGTATCTTCCGAACATATCTGAAAGTTGAAGGAAATCAAATATAACTGAAATTGTGTCGATCTAAAAGTAAAAGATCATGGTATAAAGTGGCCACGTCTTTTCGTCGTTCGAGCTAATTCATTTAGAAGGGGGACAAGTTAGGGCTCTGTGCATCTTGAGCCTTCTCTGAATAAAAGCAGTCCTTCCAATTTAACGAAAGGTAGTAAATAGAAACAGCTATGACAACAAAATAAAATACGAAGCAGCTTAAAAGGGTAGGATTCTCGACGTTAACCTCTCCTATCCAGGTTGCCTCCCTCCCTTCATTCGACGTCCACTCAGAATGGGAGGTGCGTTGTGAAAGCGCACATATATGCCCCATACCATGAATTGCACTGGCTATTTGACAAGTCAGTGCTTTTATTTACCCAAACGGATGTGGATCCAATTATCGACCTTGGAGGGATGGGAGGATTACTTGGCTTGAACTGACATGTCGCCTTTACAAGTAAGGAACACGGCTGGCGAAAATTCTCCCCGAATCCCACGACCAGGGGCAGTGGTTTCGCGACGTCATAGAGGGCGATCGTGCGGCGAGCGCTACACGCCGTTCGGGGAGAAGATACCAGACCCAAGTAAAACAGATGAACTCATTAAATTTTTCTTTGTAAAGAGAAGACTCTTACCTCAGTAAAGCTTAGCATGCAGATTGGTATACATTCTAGCAATTTCTCAGCAGATGCTACAGCTTGAGCACGATCTCGCACTTTACTTAGTTGAGCACGCGTCATGTTCTGCATAGACAGTAGATGTCGAAGAATCAGGACTGAAACAAATATGATTTACCGAAGACTCAAAAAAATTCTCGAAACTCTGCCACACAGGGCATTCTTGCTTATCAAGATGGTATGCGTAAGAGCGAGGGGTCCACGATCAAGTTATAATATTGCAATAGTGAGGAAAAAGCATAAGATGAAAATATAAAGTATTAGGGTTGACCTATGACTGTGTTCAATCACGATACATTTCGATTCATAATCGTAGGGGCCTTCGATTGTGCAAATCGCAAAGACAAATTTACTCATAGAACAAAAAAACTTCAAATACAAATAGTATAATGTTACCAAGCATAAGATCTTCACAGCCAATTTGTAGAAGGGAATCCAACAGAGACAACGACACGACTCCGAGCTGAAAACAAGCTCAAATTACCAGCCTACCAAGGTCAAATAAATGTGGTTGCCCCTCAAAAAATTATCAAAATTACAATCGCAAAGCTGCCGGTAACGGCTGCACTAAAACGGCTGTCTCATAAGGAGGGCTACTCCCACATTTCGTGTTTTTGTTCTGTGAAATTGGGGCACTAAAAACGACGCGGCCTGTTCTGCTCATCGCTATCAATATGAACAGCTTGGTGGAACCAGTGGGAGTTATTACACGAACCACAACCACTGGTTCCACCAAGCCTTTAAAGAGTAATAGAGAATATTCAAAAAAAAGGATTAGGTCACCTTATCTCCACTTGCAATCCGTCTTACTATCACTTCAATAAGTAATCGCCGCTCATCATCTCGTTCCAGAAGAAGCATCCGGATGACCGTGCGAAGAAGAGATGGTTCTGTGACCGTTTCTATGCATAGTTGAAGGTATACTGTAGCTGCCGCAACGCTTTCCTGCTCATCCTGAGAGCTTACGTTAGAAAAAGTCAGAACAAATAAAGGTAACAATAGAAACAGTACAAATAGTAGATCTTCACAAAGTCTTGGCAAACTTCAACACACCTGCAGAAGTGCTGGCTTCACTACGGATATCAGAAATCCCGAATAGAAGAAACTGCAAATTTGCTCCACAACAGCGGGATGTGCGGCCTGACGACAATATGATTAGCCACCAGAGTGAACATCAAAGAGATTAAGTGGGGAATTCTAACAAACACGAACACCTTGAAGAAGGTTCGCGAATTCACTTAGGAACTCATGAGACCCATGAGAACTAAGGTCGCAAGTATACAGATTCATATACGGCGCGTCGCAACCCTTTCGAACTTTCATAGGGCTGGTTTCTGAAGTACATAACACCGCAAAGGAGATCATAGATATGGGTGTGGGTACTTCTCCCTGAAAATCGCGTAGCGCGCGCCGCACCCGACCGAGCTCATTCGCGCGCAGTGGATGGAAACACTTGAATTTTCAGTTCAGGCTATGGCAACCGTCGCGGATGATTACACGATTGTACACCGGTAAGAACTACGCAGGAGTGCTTGGTTGATACTTTTTTCATGCACAACTACCTGGACACTTTTCCTGAATAAGGTTTGTTACAGAAGAGAACATAGCAAGCCACTGCACGCTTAATCTTAAACTTTCTTCCCTACCTTCCATTTGTTACTACAAGGTCTTGAAAAGGTAGAGTTCAAGGAGACATATATATCCATTTACAAAAAAAATTAATCATATAAGTTTTCCCTACCTGAACAACGGCATTGCAAAAAAGAAGAGAAGAATGAAAATTGGCCAGCGATTCAGCAGTGTGCTCAGGTACAAGCCTTTCCACACCATCACCGGCAAGAATACGACTTAATTGTGAGAAACAACCAGAAAGACCAGTAGCGACCACAGGACAAAAGGCACTCTGAATTTTTAATTACTGACAAAATTTTAAAAGATCAATGATTAGTAAACTGATGAACGCTAACTTTATAAGCAACAAATTCGGCAATCTGTTCATGATTTGCTGACACAGAAAGAATAAGTAGAAGAGCATCACGAGCCAATTGACCAACATCGTTCTGAAATGATTTGATCTCGAGTCACGTATCAAAGTGTGTATACACCACGTTAACAGAATTGCGAAGCTTAGGAATGTGGAGAACGGAATTCCACTAGAACGAAAGGATTCCGAAAGGAAAGGATTGAAAATGAAGCTACCTGTTCATACAAATATGGAATGAGCAGTGAAAAGACGATGAATTGATCAGCACCTTCCGCGCAAGAAAAGAAGAAATGTAGTAATGTACGATCCTCGGCTAATTTTGTACAAATCTAAAACCGACCTCGAAGAATGCAGAAAAATTGATTTTATACAGCAATCATCAACACTATCACTGAGTAACAAAAAACTACAGCTTCGACACAACCAGAGAAAATAAACCTTCTCACCTGATTCAAAAGCACAACAAAATGTTTCTCCGTAGCCGACGGATGACCCAATTTGTTGGACCGAAGTCCTTCTGCACGTTCACACCTTTGCAGATAGGAAATGTTGTTAGTTGAGCGCATCAAAAACCAATAAGTCACGAACCAATCAAATAATCGAAGCAGCGGATTCAAGATCGGCTTATGAACGAGAAGGCAATGATTTTGCGTATGACTTTCTGACACGATCAGCTCGTATATTCGAACAAGTGCCAACTATAAAAGGGAGTCACGGCCTCGAGTAAATCTGATACAAGGATGAAAAGTAAAGAAAGGATAAAAAGTAAAACATAGTCACGTAGAGTTAGCCAGCACCAAGCACAGTACATAAGTTTTTTGTTTCTTCGGTCCACCTACTTACGAAACGGGGTGGATCATGGAATATCGAAAGATATATCAGAGCTATTGGCTATTGTTATTAATCCAGCATATNTGACTTTCTGACACGATCAGCTCGTATATTCGAACAAGTGCCAACTATAAAAGGGAGTCACGGCCTCGAGTAAATCTGATACAAGGATGAAATGTATAAGAAAGGATAAAAAGTAAAACATAGTCACGTAGAGTTAGCCAGCATCAAGCACAGAACATAAGATTTTGGAGATTCTTCGGTCCACCTACTTACGAAACGGGGTGGATCA